AAGAGAGCTTGGGGAGAGAATAGAGTTCTAAGAGGGTTTCTTTGTAAACCAAAATTGTAACTTATTCTTTCATTAGTGAATTTCTCAAAGGGATCACCAAGAGGATGTAGGCAATTGCTGAACCTCTATAAATTCTTGTGTCACTTTGTGCTTGGTTGGTTTCTCAAGAGTGAGTGTGTGATTCATCCATCCTTGTGTGTGTCACAAAGTCCATCAACAACAAGATCATTAAGGGAGTGAGTGAAAGTGTTTGTCCATTTTCACAACAAATATATATTTTATTTAACAATTGTTTATAAGATTTGAACTCAGTGACATCTTCCAACAAAATGACTGAGATAATGACATAATTTTCTCTAACTCTTGATAGATCACAGAAGCAAAACAATGATTAAGAATACTTAATTGGCCCTCTTCAACACAAGGCATAACAATGATAATAAAAATACGGCTCTTGCTACATTTAGAACCTCATTTAAGAGTCACAATAATATGCAGACAAAAATTAACACTCCCTCCTTAATTCTCACTCCTGCCTGGCTTGCCTGAAGGAAGGGATGCCTGGAACAATAAAAACAGTCACATAATTAAACTAATTAGATTAGCATAAATGCAAAATTAAATTAAAAGAAAAGCTGTGGCTAGGGTTAATTACTGAATCAGCAGCATCTGGGATCCAGTCATTGGTTGCTGGGTTACACTGGCAAGAGGCATGGAAGTCATTGTTGGTATCAGGTGCCAGGTTGTAATTTTTGTCACTTTTGTTGGGTACTTTGATAAACCCTGTTCCTGTTGTGTGGTGCTGCTTGTCAACACAATTCAGATCCTTATAGTAATCTGTTTCCACAAACTCCTCCCCAACCTCACTTCCATTCACAACTATTTTCTGCTTCAATTCCAAAGAAAAATAGAGAAAGAAAGGAAAGAAAAACATTAGACAAAATTTTAAGCAAGGAACTATCAATAAATAGTGAAAATGAAGCAGAGATATCAACAAGGCGTTTGTAGTCCAACGGTTAGGATAATTGCCTTCCAAGCAATAGACCCGGGTTCGACTCCCGGCAGACGCAAATTATTTTTATTTTTATTTTCTAGAAAATCTACTAGAACACCAGTGAAAATCAATTTCCCTTTTTTTATTTGGTAAAAAAACAAAAACAAAAACAAACAAACAAACAAATCGATGAAAACCAACCTCAGTATCATTTTCCAGA